AAGGCATGAGATAAGAAACGGAAGAGGAAACACAGCTAAATCTAGTTTATACCAGCACCATTCACTTTTGTTCCTTAAAATTTTTATCTATCTCGTTTGCAGCATTTCATTTAATATCCAAATAAAAGTCTTCCACTTCTTCCTGAGTAATTTGTTTTTCCTTGATAGCTTTGTTTTGTAATTGGACTGTCATTCTTTTCCCCGTTTATAAATTCATTTGATGTTTATCCCACCTTTTCTTATAGGAAGTCAAGGCAGATTATTTGGTTTTTCCTCCTATTCTTTCCCACCACAACAGTACTGTAAAATAGAGTGGGCTGGCAAAGAATGACTGTCCCAAAGTCACGCAGTGAGGTTCTGTGGATGAAGGTGGACTAATATCTGCATCTCCATCTTCAACACCTTGATTATTATATCTTGCTAGCTACATACCACTTCAGCATACTATCCATCCATCCATCCATCCATCCAATTAACCAGTGGAACAACCTGCCTCCAGAAACTGTGAATGCTCCAACACTGGAAGTTATTAAGAAGAGATTGGAGAGCCATTTGTCTGAAATGGTATAAGACAGTGGTGGCAAACCTATGGCACGGGTGCCAGAGGCGGCACTCAGAGCCCCTTCTGTGGGCACGTGCACCGTCGCCCCAGTCCTAGGCCTTCAGCTGGGTTTTATAAATCCTTTTTGCTTTAGGCCTCTGCCGCTGTGTGCAAAAAAAATAAATAAATAGGTTCAATCAGTCAATTTCAACTTCTTGCGGGAAAAAAAAAGATCTTGCAAAGTTGGAACTGATTGATTGAACTTTTTAGTCCCACCCAGTCTGCCGTTACCACTGCAGCCATGCCCACCCAATGGGCCATGTCCACCCAATGGGCCACACCCAGCCAATGGGCCACACCCACCCAGCACTTGACGATCCATAAGTGGGTTTTGGGTTGCAGTTTGGGCACTCGGTCTCTAAAAGGTTCGCCATCACTGGTATAGGGTTTCCTGCTGAGCAGGGGGTTGGACTAGATGACCTCCAAAGTCCCTTCCAACTTTTTAATTTTTTTATTTTATTATTATTATTATTATCATTATAATTATCATCATCATCATCTACACCATTATTGTTTTCACAAATAACTCAAGCTGGCAAACATATCCAACCTTCCTAATTTCCCTACAGCAAGAACCCTCTGAGATGGTTTGGGCTGAGAGTCACCCAGCTAGTTTCATGGCTAAGGCAGGACTTGAACTCACAGTTTCTTGCTGTCTAACGTAATGCCTTACTAGACCAAACTGGCTCTCAGACTGATTACTCTTTTTTGTATTCATGCACTATATCTTCCTTATTAAATACTGCAACTGTGATCTATAATTTCTATTACATCACACAATTCATCTAGCATATGCAGTAATTCATTTAAGTTTTCCTCATTTGCATACCAAAGAATATGCACATTCGTGTCCCCAAAGGATGAAGGTAGGTAATTCTTCCAAGCTCTTCCCAGGAGTGCTTAACAAGCTAATCACTTGTAGGTTTTTCATTTACTTTTGTTAACTCCTGTATTAGTTATTAACAACATCTTTCTTCCATCAGGAACAAAAAAAACCACGTGATTTTAGCAGCCATTTGGCAAGCAAACCATATCTATATTTTGCCATTTATACAATTACATTAATATACTAATCCTATAGCCTTGTGGGATTATCTAATATACTCATATAATTATATAAAAAACTGTAATATAATATACGGTACCTATTATAATATACTAATCTTATAGACTAATCCTTTTTTTCTTTAACCATTCTAACAGAATTGATTACTTTCTTTTCATCATTTTTTTCTTAGCTATTATCATTTATAGTATTCATTTATTTTTTTTAACATATTATCTTTTCATGTACATTTTAAATTCTCTCACTTTAGTTTAAATTTCAGTTCACTTCCATCTCTTTTATTTTTAATTCCACTCATTTTGATGGAAGCTTCTTTTTAATCTCTACCCAGTTTCAAACCAATATTTATTTCCATCAAAATCACTTTCTCTCCATCTTTTAATCTTAATCGTACTTAACTCTTTGTGACTATTTTTGCAAATGTCATCAACTTATCGATTGTTATTTTCATACACACCAACTACAGCTAAGATAACATTATTTCATTAGTTTCTGACATTTATGTTAGCTGTTATGTTCACAGGGAAACATATACCTTCCCTCTTTGTATTCACAAGATTAGACTACCTTTATTCAAGTATATTATATTCTTATTCTTTATCTTAGTTTCAGGGACACATCTTCATTTTTCTTTTAATTTTTAAACTCATGCTATTTACCATTTTTCTTCTCTTAAAGTGCAAATTATGAAGTCAGATGTTATGGCTATCTGCACACTCATGAATGTTGACCAGTGGTGGGATTTATCCAGTTTGCACCCCTTCGGCAGAACTGGTAGCTAATTTTTTGCTGCCCAGGCCCAGAATGGACTTCTGGAAGCGGCATCCACACAGATAACTGGTTGTTCACATATTTGATGTTGACCTCTACTGTCTACCATGGCTAAGCCATATCAGTATGATTTTTTACTACCATAAAGCAAGCAAATAATGGATTACCAGACTTAGTTATGTCCATACCATTGTTCCTGCTAAAGATAAGGATAGTACTAGTCAGTTCTGGTATGTTTTGGCCAGAATGCCACAAGCACAAGCAAAGTTCATACTTTGCATATATAGCATACTTAGGCTAGTGACTAGTCTATGGAAGTTAGGATCTCTCATCTAAGGATTTTATGGTAAAGCAATTTATTAGTGCCCTAGATCACTTCAATTAGGACATATGTAGTATACAGTAAACACTCACTGTTCGTACTCTTCAAAGCCTTATTTCCAGATTTTAAATATCACTGCTACAATGCCTGTAATATTCCATTCTAATTCAACGTATGTGAAAAATAACATTCAATACCCAAACAATTATTCAAGTAATACAACAATCCAAGACATGGCATTTCCCAAAATAGAATTAATTTATGCTTCTCTGTAAGAGCCACTTTGCTATTAATCAATGGCTGGGCTCCTGCTGTTAGACAGTTAGAGGCAAAGGAAATGCAGTTGGCCAAAAACAAATATTTTAATATAAATGAATAAGAACTTGGATGATTGTATTTGTATGTATGTGTGAGCATATAGATATACAGTATTGGGTAAATGAACAGGGGGCTAACTTTTACGGCTGAATGTCAATTTAGAACTTACAAGAGCAACAGCTGGAAGGAAAGTGCATGCCTATAACTTTGGGAACAATATGAAGCTGGTTTGCACAAATCATATTGGTTCAATAAGCTGCACAGCTAACAGAATGTCAAATGCTACTGCATTTCACCAAGTCTAAGATCTAGCACAGGGGTAGGCAACTTTGGCTCTTTTATGACTCGTGGACTTCAGCTCCCAGAATTCCTCTGGGAGTTGAAGTCCAGGAGTCATAAAAGAGCCAAGGTTGCCTATCCCTGATCTAGCACATTATTATTGATTATTTCTATATGGTGCTTTTTTCCCATTGCAGAATTCAAGTAATTGAAGCGGTTTCCCAGAAAAGGTATAGGGTCTCCTGCTTAAGGAGGGTGTTAGACTAGAACAGTGGTTCTTAACCTGGGTGATATTGCCCCCCAGGGGGCAATTTCATTTTTCAGGGGGACGATGGAACAAAAAGGGGTGTTGCAGGGGCAAAGGAACGAAAAGGGGACGATATGGGGGCGATGGAGCGAGAAGTTTTGGGGACACTTTTGAGACTTTTTCGTACAGTGAATTGCTGCGTATCTGTTGTACAAAAACATCAGATCACTTGCTATTAGTAGATTGAATTGTGTTTTCAAATGTTCCTCCCGCTAGCTTCAGAACAGAACGCCGTACATATGTGAATATGCATTGCTTATCTTCATGCACATTGCGCAGCAGCCTCTACCCTTTTTATATTTCTTTTTGCGTCTTAAATTTCACTTGTAATTCAATCATTAAATATTACTGTTTTTCTTTTTGGGCATTTTACTTTCTTGCAATTGAATTTTGTTTTCAGTGGTCATTACATTTAAGTGTCTTGAATAAATAAGATAATAATGAAATACATGTATCACGAAGTTTGGGAATAAAGTGATGGGTGGCACCAAAATTTTTCAAACAGTTGAGATATGGGAAAAAGACTGGAAATAAATTATTTGCATCGATATGTCCTGATGTCAATTTTAAAGAAAATAAAAAAGTGCATAAATTGAAGAATTATTTCCTATGTTGTGATTGAGAGGTTATGTTGGGGGAGGGGGGTGATGACAACTTTCTCATTGGCTCAAGGGGGCGATTCGTTCAAAAAGGTTAAGAACCACTGGACTAGAAGACCTCCAAGATCCCTTCCAACTCTGTTATCCCTGTTATTCTATTAAACCTTCAACCTCTCAACCAACCCCTAACTCTGTTATCCCTGTTATTCTATTAAACCTCTCAACCAACCACTAACTATTTTTACAAAATGAAGGGATGACATAGTTTGCTGGGTATTGTGCTGTGAGAATCCAGACATTATGCCTTATTCAACAAACCATGGTTAACAAAATGAGTTAGCATGATGTGCAAATTGTTACTGATCGGACTTACCGATGGTCCTATTAACAAATTAAAAAGGACTTGATCATTATTAAACATTTAGGGGTTGAAGTGATCTCACCCCAGTAATGACAAAGATTACATCCAACCAAAATTCTGTAGTTAGGTCCTTCTGCAAATTTTGTGATGACAGACAGGAAGCTTTCAATCTATAAACAGAATGATAGCATTTCCTTATATTCAGCATGGAACAAATGTATCAACTGATTGCTTCATCCCATCAGATAATGTTGGCAATGCAGTCAGTGCCAATACAAATATTTGTACCTGACAATACATCTGCTTTTCCTGCTCTCTGTATTGAGTATAATAACCTTTTTTCCTTTGCATTTAATTTTTTTTTAGCTCTGTTAGTATCTCATTCAGTCTGGTGTATGATTAACAGGACTGCAGGCTACACTGTTTGCAAAATATTTATTGTTGCATGAGCAAGAAATACATCAGAAGTTTCAGTTCTCAAGCTGAGGCTATAAAATCAACATATAGAAAACATTTCCGTACTGCCCATTCTCAGCTTGGTAAAAGCTGTTAAAATAAAAGTTTTAAACCAAATAAATTAATTCCAGTTAACTATCCAGCTGAATAAAAAATACAGATAATTCAAATGAAAAATGCCACATGATTATTAAAAGGTCTTTGCTTGTTTCTGATATTTACAAAGATTTTTTTCCCCTTTGTCTCATTTTTTGAAAGTACTTTTGAATCCTCCTCCTTCTCTGTAAGGTTTAAAAAAGAATAAAAATGGTTTGGAGTATATAACCTATATCCCATAACACAATGAATCCCCCCCACACACACACTGACTCACACTTCCAAACTACTCCAGAAATCTCCCATTCTCTGTAGGAGACTTGGGCGTGCAGATATTTGAAGAGTCAAAGATGGGATTCACACATCCATTAAGCCATTGGTTGATTTACCTTATTTCGGCTTACTATATTCATTGCTTCCAGATACTGCTGTTTAGGAATCATACTTCACGATTCATTGTGACAGACAAATCCAGCTGATCTTGCAATAACAACAACACCTGGCAAAGGCTAAGAGCAGGAAAGTTGAAGAAAGAGAGAGAGGGGCTAATGCTGGCTGCACATGACCAAGTCTTAAGAACAAATGCATACAAAGCCAGAATTGAGAAGACAGCAACAGATAGTAAGTGCCAGCTATGCAAGAGGTTGAAGAAACAGTGGACCACTGGCTTAGTTGTTGCAAGAAGATTGCACAGACTAACTACAAAGACTGACATCACAAAATAGCAACAATGGTACATTGAAAGATCTGCAATTTGCTTTCTTCTTGCCAGACTACCTTCATCCAGAGGCAGATGGATACTTCAGGTATGGTTACCTGGCATGCATACAGATCTCACCTCTTAGAAACAGACAAAGCTGGGAGGGCTCAGACTAAGAGTCAAGAGCTATCTTCCAGCATTTTTCTCTAATGGTGGTGGGCTCTTTTGTCCACTCCATTCTGGAACATTACAATTAGTGGGAGACAAATGTGTATATAGCGCTCTCTCTCTCTCTCTCTCTCTCTCTCTCTCTCTCTCTCTCCCCTGTGACACATGTGAAAGGTCAAATTTTCCAGAGCTGCAAATGTAAAAATAAATGAATTATTTTTTTAAAAAATGCATTTAAATTTGGTACAAAGCAATTAAGGATTTGAGCTACTTTCTCAAAGACGTTCTAGGTTACTAGGGTTCATATGCAGCATGAAGGAAGCCAGACTTCCTTCCAAGAGAAAGAACAAGAGGTTTTCTTCAGCTCATGCTCTTGTTTTGCTTTGCTGAAAGTTAAACTGTTATGGAGATGAGTCACAAGTGAATGATGCAAGCCCAACTTTTTCCTGCCATCAGCTTCTTTTTGTTCCAAAGACAGCCCAAGGCTCTTCGAGCACGCTGCAGTCTTAATCTCTGATCTATTTATTGACCAAGGATGTGGTAAGAAAAATTATTCAGAAAATTTTGTTCAATTCAATATCTGTGCAGTATTGATGTTTATTTTCAAGGATGAATTTCCAAACAGTGTTTGTGGCTCTGCCAGATCAGCTTAAGTAGTTTTAGAACTTGTTGATTTCATCCAGGAATGGGGCAGGTGCTAAACTCTTGATCACTGAAACCAAAGATTTAATTAGAAGTATTATATTTTGTCTGGGCTGTGCCCAACAGGGACTATTGGATGTGTTTCATGCACAAGATAAACGAACCAAGGTTCACCATGTTCAAATAAACATTGTATATTTTATGTACTCACCCTCAACCTATCAGGAAATACTTCTAGCATCAACCTAATATTTCTAAAACTCATTGAATCAAAAGAAGATTGTGTATTTATGCCTGTTAACCTCTTCCCTGTTTTCTTTTTTTCCTCTTTAAATTGTTCTAGTTAGTGCCTTGTAACACTGATTATTTGTACTCTCTATTTAATGGATATTGCATAATGTAGGTTTGTATGGTCATTTTTTTTTTCAGGGGCAAACTCTGTGATATGAAAATGTCCAGTTGCTAATAAACTAAACAGACAAGAATTGTGTATAGACTCAGGAGATCAAGTGAATGCTTGCAATAAATTATATCTTGCATTCTTTAAACAAATGCTGATTCCTTGGTTGTTTTAAGGAACCTTTTTTTTTTAAAAAAAAGCCTCTAGGTATCTCAGTTGATAAGGCCATTGCTGACAGAAAAGTAGAATGATCCATATATTCTATCAGGCAAAAAGAATAACAGGATGAAGTCAAGGCTTAATATTCTGACAACTTTATAATATTTTTTGAAAAATGTAAGCAGTCTCCATCATGGATTAGAGAAAGTATTCCTTTCATAGGCTATTATAGACAATTTGTTGTTTCCACGCATATTAACCTTATTTTAGGAGTTTGGAGAGAAAGCAACAATACTGCCTTCTGATAATGAAATTTCTTTTGCAACACGATTGTTTACCTTACCAGAATATATTGTTTCTTCATTAGAAATTAAGAGTTACCAAATGAAGGCTTGGGGATTATGCCAAGAAAATTACAATAAAGCAAGGAATGTGTGTTGTTTGGCTCTACACCAGCCTCATCCATGTTAGCTAAAGTTATGCGAATGGGAATGCAGTACCAAGACTCCATGTTGGGAATGGTGATTTTTAGTTTACTCTACAACTTTGCACCAAGACCTTGTTTATTCCCTCTTGGAGATATGCCTACCCAAGATTCAGGTGTGGCATCCACTGAAAACTCAGGGCAAGGATAGAGGATGGCTATGTCATCCAAGATGCTCTGGTGTTATCCAAAGGCACAATTCCATAGATAGTTGGTTGCAAGACTCTGTTTATTAAGTTGGGCTTTATGGATCAGTTGGGCCTTACTATTGTAACAGTGGCCACAATGGCAGTGGAGTTCCACAGGCTCATTGTCCTTGCAGACTTCAACCGGCCTTGCTTAGAGACAGAGTCAGAGATGATTCGGGAGTTCATAGCCATCAAGGACCGGATTTAGGTTATTGATAGTCTAACATATTATATAATAATGACAATATGTTAGATTTAGTTTTCTTGTTGGAGTAATGATCTACAGTTGGAGGGAGACTGCTATCTCCTCAGTCATAGTCAGATTGTTTTTGTTGACCCTGGAGTTGTCTGATGCTCTCTCCCACTGCAGTGAAACTGGAATTATTTGATTGGTAGAGGAGATTGGGATTGTCTGTGAAGATCTGATCTACATTCCGACCAAGGCATTGGTTGCTGCCTGGAGCAAGAAGACTGTGAGGGCTTTGGATTGGATTATATCAATTGTTTTCCCTCAGTTGATGGAGATGAAACAGCTGAAAGATACCTAGAACACCACTGGAGGACAAGGAGTGAACCCAAACAAACATTTCCTAGAGCCACAATTCCAAGCTACCTTATGGAGTAAGGGAAATATCTGTGGTGGTGCAGTGGTTAGAATGCAGTATTGCAGGCTGACTCTGCTCACTGCCAGGAGTTCAATCCTGACCAGCTCAAGGTTGACTCAATTTTCCATCCTTCCAAGGTTGGTAAAATGAGGACCCAAATTATCGGGGACAATATGCTGACTGTAAACCGCTTAGAAAGAGCTGTAAAGCACTATGAAGTGCTTTACACTATGAAGTCTAAGTGCTATTGCTATTTCTTTCTCTTTATTGCATCCACATATTTATTCAGTGATCCTTTTCAAGATAGCCCAGGCCCTATGGAAGGCCAATTCAGAAATATTATGGGACCAGGCTAGGAAAGAAGGCCCCTTGGTGGGAATCAGGAAGAAAGCCTTTTATGTTGCAGCACCTCTTTGTGGAATATCTTTCCTCTTCAGAGACCATGTTGTCCCTGACCTTCTTGGCTTTTTGCAAGGTTCTGAAGACATAGCTATATTCCCAGGCTTGGGGGTTGGAGTGTTTGCTGGAGCCTGTGAATTAGGTTTTACTGAAATATTTGTATGATATATGTAGTCCTGGTTTAACTACTGCCTCAGATAGTGACCATTCACAAAGATAATGATAGTAAATGGTAAAAAAATGATTTTTCAATCAATGCACATATTTACAAGAAAAAAAAGCCTTCAGTGTAGTAAATTTCAGGCAACAAAGGGTTCCCAATAACTAATTAAGGCCACAGAACTGAGCTTGTTAACCTGAAGTTAGCACTTGTTAAGAGATTTTAGAGACTTTGAGCTGTGGAGAAAACCAACTCAGAAGAGACAGCTTGTTTAGCCAATCTCTCCACCCTGTGAGAGGATAAATAAGGGGAAAAATGGATCAGGCACAGGAAACTGAAAGAGAAAGTTTTATCTGAATGAGACAACAGCAACCAGCAATCTTTCTCCCTCTGTCATGCAGTTCACTTAGTGACCATTTAACCAGAATCATTTGCAGTCATGAAACAAGGACTAATTTTGTATTAGTGGTCGTATTGTTGTTGCTGTCTCAGCAGCCAATTGTCTATTTATTTTTGTTATTGTTAACTTCTTGCCATCATTTGAGATAGGCAACTATATACACTGAGTAAATATTTTTTTTAAATGACCATATTAGGATGCACTTCTTTCTCCCAATGGCAGATATAAACATTTGAGCATAACTACCTTATTTCAGTAGGGAACCCAGATAAAAATCTAAAGAGATTTAGAGCTAAAAAGTAGGTCAAATAAAAAACTTAGGCCTGCTGATTGACTCGACATCCATTCTGAGATAAGGGAGTAGCAGCAATGAGGTCATGTGACAGGAAGAGCAAATTCTTGTGAAGAGTGAGCAAAGGAATGCATTTGAAACATTTCCCAGTAGCCAAAGCTAAATGACTGGAGAGAACAATCCTAAGTCAACAGTTTTAATTTATTGGGGAAATAAAAACATTTGGAATTATCTACAAAGATAACCCTGTCAGGTTGAAGGGTGGAGAGAGGATTAGCAATATTGTTATTGAGATGTACTTTATGAGCCAGTTGGAATAATATGAATGAGACTGTAATCAAAGGAATGCCAGGGCAAACATTTGAATGGGAACAACAGAAAACATCCTGGCCCTCTAATTATTTGTCATGTGTTTTCATAATATGTATTAGGTAATTAGGATATTGCTCAGAAATCCAAATATTTATGTGTAATAAACATTATGGAAAAGTATATGCTATGTTACTGCATTTTCTCTATGGCACTCATTACACATTTTCCCCATGGATTTTTAGCATTATAGTGGGGTCTATCCTACTATTCTGGTATTCTAAATAATCATTTAATTACCTTATTAAAATTGCATTCCTCCTTAGATTTTTTTTAAGCCCCAAATTTTTAAACTTACAATTGCCTTTATATTGTTATGATTGTATAGCTTATTTTATTCTAGTCAGTTTCTATGTACAGGTAATCCCCGAGTTACGAATGTTCCCTTAGCGAACGTTTGAAGTTACGTGATAAGCACCCCCTAGTGTTTATGAATAAGTCCTGAAATTATGAATGTTGCAGCACCATGGCAATCGTTCACCCTTACTAATGACCGCAGAAACACTGCAACATTGACCCTGGCTATTCCCTCCTCCTCCTCACCTGATCTCCATAGGCACTAGGCCTGTGTATACTCACCTTGCAAAGATCTAGACAGCCTGTTTCTTGGCCTGTTTCGCTGTTTCAGGCCTTCACAGAGAATGGAGGCCTAAAGTACTGCAAGATCACATGATATCAGTAGCATGTGATCTCACGGTACTTTAGGCCTCTGTTCTCTGCAAAACAGAGGCCTGGATGAGATCTGCAGCTAAAAGACTTTGCAAATGGAGGGAAAGTTTGAAACATCGAAGCCTTCCCTCCATTTGTAAAGCCTTTTGCCATCTTTGCAAAAAGCCTTTGCCACTGACAATGGAGCTCCGGATTGATGTGCACGTCATTTCCGGCCTCCGTTCTTGGCAGCAAAGGCCTTGAGGAAAGGCTTTTGCCACTGATAATGGAGGCCGGGAGCGACATGCACATCAATCCGGGGCTCTGTTCTTGGCGGCAAAGGCTTTTCCTCAAGCACATTTTGCATGGAGACTGGGAGCCTGAAGTCCCACAAAATCACAGCGCCCAGTAGCTTGCAGTCTCGGGGCCCAAAGTGTTTGCAAGCTGGTCAGATGCTTTGAGGCAGCGATTTTGCTGACCCAAAGCCTCCCGTCAACTTGCAAACATTTTTCAGGGAGACTGGAAGCTTCTGAGCACCATGAGTTTGTGTGGCAGAGGCTGGAGACAGCTGGCTAGATCTTTGGAAGGTGACCCGGTGTGGCAGGATGGGGGGGGGAAGCAATTTTGGGGAGCATGAGGTATCTCAGTGGGTTGGGGGAGGCCTTGGGTGGTCTTAAGCAGGTTTCCTGTTCCATCCCTAGCCCCCCATGGCCCTCCCCACCTTGAGATGCCTCATGTGCACTTAACGAACTGCGCATTTGATTAGCGAATGTGTGGGTGAAAGCAGGGAGTGATCGTGTTCAAGGTATGCAATTCACTCTTACAAATCCTCGAATTATGAATGGAATGGGCAGGCGCCATTCCATTCGTAACTCGAGGACTACCTGTATATAAACTGAATTGATATTCAGCAACTTATATAGGACTTTTTCAAAAGATGTTTTGCTTGTCAATGTCTGAAATAAAATGACAAGTTCAGAATGAGGATATAAAACATGATTAGTCACCTATCACTTTAGAATCACTACTGAATTCAGGATATTTTCTCACTTTCTGCTGAAGGGCCAGCCACATTACAAGTTAATGCGTCATAGGCCACAGGAATTCAGGCCTTAACCATGTTGTGCAATTTGGAACAATTCCATTTTCTCTTTATGTCTTCTGTATCTTGATTTTATAATTTAAAGCAATTTCTCATAAATTCTCTCAAGAAAGTTTCCCGACACAAACTTCACAAGGAAGCATTTAACCATAATGAAAAAAAAGGTGATGGTGGTGTTTGAGTCAGTGTTGCAGGCTAATTCTGCAGATTGGCGACTGTCAGCACTTTGATCCTGAAGGGCTCAGGGTTGACTCAGCCTTCCAGGGTCGGTAAAATGAGGACCCAGATCGTTGGGGAAAATATTTTGACTCTGTAAACCGCTTAGAGAGGGCTGTAAAGCACTGCGAAGCAGTATATGAGTCTAAGTGCTATTGCTACATTTTAGAAGATTGTTTTTTTTCTAGCTTTAAAAATATATTTATTTAGAAATGTATAAATTGCATTATTCTACACTTCTGTGCTTTTTTCCCCAGCCTGAGTTATATTTAAGGCAGAAGAAAAGCATTCCTGCAGATATAGTGTTCTTCATTTAACATACGGGTTTTCTTTCCTTTATTATTATTATTACAACTCCTCACCCTAATAATCTTGCTGTGCATTATTTCCATTGATCTACAGCTGGAACATATTGAGGGCATTTTTGGATATACACAATACATATAATGCCTCTGTGACTATTTAACATACCACAGATACTATCAAGTGCAGAGATGAGTTAGAAATATATTCTACATATATTATACCAACCATATTTCAGTTCCAATTAAACTCCTTCCAGTCTTTAACAAAAAACTCATTCCAGAGATTGATGCGTTTGATCTTCTTCAGAATTCTCAAAATATTGTTTCATATTGTTGCCTTCCCCAGTCTGGTATTTTCCTTATATCTGGATTACAATACTTTAAATCCCCAGATAGTGTATAATTCCCAGATAAGGGGTTCAGAGAGGTATATCCCAATGTGTGCACGGGCATCAAATTGGGGGCTGCTATACAGTTGTATCTGTCTGATGAAGGAGGGTGAAAATGTACTATTAATTTATAATTTTATGGGCATATAGATATTGAAGATGAGAATGGAAGGCAGAGGTACAAGCTGTGTGAAGAGCTATAATGGAAAGGGAGAGCCCTAGCCTGGTCAGGTAACACAGCATCTGTCAAACACAATTTTTAAAATTAAAACTAACTTCTAAAAATGCTACAGAGCAAAGAGTAGATATGCAGATTTTCCAGGGTAACAAAATACATCATACTGGACTATAAACCTGCAGTAGGTCAGGTCTCAAAACTACACAAGTGACATGTTGGTTTTTGGGGTTTTTTTTGCTTCTTTTCACTCTAACGAAAGCTCTATAACCCCTTTCAGTTCAACAGTACAGAAGGACCTGATTCTTCTGCAATGGCAAGACATTATAATAAAGAGAATACAGCTTGTCAACTTTATCCTTGAGTTTAAGTCCACATCCTATGAATGCATCAGGGAGATAAAATTCTGTTTCTGATTTTTGCCCAGGATCTTTTCCAAGTCTACAACTTAAAGCTACAGTAATATACAGTAAAGATGCATAGTGGAGGAAGACAATGAAAAAAAAAATCCTCATTCTACCCCACCCACCCACAATTCTCCAGAGATTCCCATCTGCAGATCTGCAATGCAAAATTTTTGTCTGGTGGGTAGTCAGAAGGCTGGCTTTCAATGGCAGGCAGGCAGGCAGGCAACAGATAGATAGGGTCAAGAGAAATAAAGACTATACAGAAAAAAATGACAACGGATTAGTACAGTTAATCCTCACATATATACCAATTTCTCTCTTCTGCCTTGTTAAGAATTACCATTCTTAATTTGAAGGGGCTCCAGGATGTCATTTGGGTTTATATGTGCAAAAAATATTTATACAATACTTAAGCCAGGCTGTTGAATTAAATTGCATCTTTTTTTTCTAAAAAAACCAGGTATTTCTCTTTGATGACTGGTCCATTCAGCTGGATAGATTCCACATCAGATCTGTTGCTACAAAGAGGGCTTTCAGACTTCCCCTTGTACTGCAAAGCGACAGTAACTTGAAGCGTAAGTTGAACAAGTCCCAACCTGCTGGCAACAGCTTCATTGCCGTTTATATTCCAAACAATATTTTGGACCAAAAAAGTGCTTTCTATAGCTATTAGCAAAGATCACAGGGTAAGTATTTCAGCTGCACAATTACAGTTCTTTGAATAAACAGTCCCTTCTTCCCATACTGTGGGTTTTTGGCTACTTCTATTTTCAGGTATATATTCATGTACAGATCTCACCATTTTCTAAAATCCCACTCAGTTCTTGCTTTAGGAAACTGGCTATGGAGCTGGATCTAGAATTCCTTATATGTAAACTACAAAACTGTTGTAAACAGGACAACAAATCCTTCGTGCTATTCAATCGCAAGGGAAAATGAGAGGGAAAAAAAGTGACTCATTCCCTGTAACTGGATTATATGGTTTGGAACAAATATTCTCAAACCCAAAATCTTATAGTAACATCTCCTAGATCAGTGTTTCCCAAACTTAACAATTTTAAGGCATGTGGACTTCAACTCCCAGAATTCCACAGCCAGCAATGCTGGCTGTGGAATTCTGGGAGTTGAAGTCCACATGCCTTAAAATTGTTAAGTTTGGGAAACACTGTCCTAGATTATAAAAGAAGCATGGTGGCTCATGAGGTTAGAATGCTGGGCTACTGATCAGCAGGCTCGCGTTCGAGACCCATTGCTGCTGCAGGAAGGGATGAGCTCTTGTCACACACTCCAGCTCCTGCTGCCCCAGCAGTTTGAAAGTGGGCGACCACGAGTAGATTAATGATACTACTTCAGTGGGCAACTTCACGGGGATATGAAAGGAGACCCCAAATGCGCATCCCCTGGGCAAATATCACTGGCAAATCCTTTTGCTATGGAAGCACCATGAGAAAAAAAAACTTGGACTCTGTGAAGGAAATTAGTGCAATGTTGTTAAGGCATATTGTAATATATTAGGGTCAGATTAATTACTGTTTGTTGCTGAACCCAAAGTTTGACATCATATATAGTACAAAATCACAACTGATACCATACAAGACACAATGGGTGCGTTCACACAACACACTAAGCCAATATCAAACAAATAACTGCTTAACATGATATTAGCCAATGTTACTTATTCCTTTGTACTATGAGCCTATTCAGCTCAAAATAGATTAACACAAACAAATTGTTAATTCCGATGTGATTGGGTTGCAATGGGACGAAGGATGGGAAGACTGGATGGTGATCCATATACTTTTACACACACACACACGCACACACACACACCTTGCCACAACAAAAACATAGTGAAAATAAGAACAATTATTACATCACAATATTATTTCTACTGCACGGGTCCATGGATTTTATAAACTATTCAGCAGCAGCTACAAGCAAAAAGGTGCTTTTAAGCTATGAGGGCCCCAAACAGAGTACACACTGTTCTCATCTATTTTTATAATTTTTGACAAGGCTTGGCCAGTTTCAGCTTGCTATTCTTCTCATACTTCCTAGTACTTTTCCACCTAAGTGCTATCGCATCATCCAGTTCACATGGAAACTGAGTGTTCTGCAGATTTCACGTTTTGAGAACAGTCTCTTGTTCTGTAAACCATTATTGCTAAATCTTCTTAAAAGTCTTCATTCTAGTATTTTTACACATGCTGCATAAACTGAAATCTTCCAGAACAAGTCATTCTGCCTCTACATCCTACTCTGAATGTATCTCTGATACAGGTTCATTTCTACTTTCATACAAATACTTGACACAAAATATGCTCTCTCTCTTACATATACATATGTTTATAAATGAACCAAAACAGGTATAAAACATATGCACAATAACTATATGGTAAGGCTAAATAATATGGTCACCAAGTAAATTTGCTTCTGAGATATGACTGACTTTCACATGTTCTGAACAACACTAATGTCTTTCCATTTTCATAGCATTTTCTGAAAATTTAAATCAGCAGTAGGTTGCATCTCTTTTATAAATACTGTCTATCCACTGCTCAATTCCATGTCCCCCCCCCCCAAATCTAAGAATTTGTATCATTATCCCACTGCAATTTGTATACTCCCTGGGTAATTCAGAGATATTAAACACAGGAGCAACAGATGGCAGAAATCTATTTAGTATGAATATAATAAAAATTCCTTTAACATAGATCCTTTTAAAAATTACTCCATTGCAGTCTCATACACACATCAATACTTATCATATAATGCTAAGAAATAAATTGTGACAAAACACAATGAACAAATTCATGCAATGTGTTTAGCCAAACAAGCTATTCTGTGGATTTATACAGTATGTGAATCAGAAGATATTCATGATATACATCCACAGTGTATATCAACAAGGAGCAGCAAATTGGGTGGGAAAAACTTTAGTATTGTGACTAGTTAGCTTTTTAAAGAGTTACTTCTTTATAACAATGTATCTATGTTAAATATACTGACTGTTTAAACATGATGTATAATTTTAAATGGACAAATCAGTTTTAATAAAATTGTGTTTTTCCCATCTTGGTTTAAATCAAGGGAGAAAATCTAACTGTGTATTTAAATAATAATATATTTAAATTCAGCTTTTTCATCACAAGCAGATCTGTTCCATTTGACTTCATTAACCAAACACATCTAATGCTGCTCACAAAAACTTATTATCTCCACATGTGGCCTCTTTATGATTATTGGAATATCAAACTTTTTTTTAAGAAACTGAAGAATGGATGAAAGTAATCACTCCAACATACATCACAAAAAGCAGCTTGTTCAATAGCGTGCTGTCAAGTGGAAACTGAAATAATTTCAAACATTATGTTATTCAGGGCCTCATGAACAGTAAATATATATATATAATTAAAGCATTGCCAGCAGCAACTGATTAAAAGAAAATGACAAGTGTATTCACATTTCTCACTACCTTCCACTCATGTATGCCAAATAATTAAATCACACTAATTTTCAAAGAGGTAAATATGGGAAAAAAGAGCTATCTTTAACAATGAATTATAGATTTGGGAAAGATTTTGAACAAACGACTTTCTACTTGTAACCTGAATAAGGGAGAAATGAATGAACTCTTATATATCATGTTATAAATAAGCAATCAATTATATAGCTCCTTGTTTGTACCTAAAGGAAGCTGCTTTTTAGTTTGCAATCTTTTTTTATTAACCCCAACCCCTGACTCCCAGAATGAGATGAATGCTCAATTTAGATTGTAGCATAAATTCTTCTTTATTAAAAAGAAACAGTCCTTGCCCTTATTTTGTTAAGTGAGAATCACCCTTTATATGAGGTCTGATGTTCTAACAACTCTAAACTGAAATAAATCATGGCTGTTTCAGACTTTCATAAAGACATTTCATCTCAAGTTTTCTACCAAATTAAGAATTTATGGTGGTTTTACTAGCACTGTGGAACATTATTAATGAACCATTTAGGCTTTCTAAGGTTTGAGATAAAAACCAGCCATTTGAAGTTCTATAGAGAATCTCCTCAAAAAAATCTGCAACTGGTCCATGCTTTCAATGACCATTTGAACTTACAGCGGTACTGAATGAGTGATATTTACAACCAGTCCAATTGTTGTCATATTGTACTTATTGCCAATGTAGCATCTCCAAGGTCATGCAATTACATTTCAGGTGCTTGGCAACTGGTTCACAATTACAATAAAACAGCATCCTGCATTCATGTGACTGTCATTTGGGACCTTCTTGCTGGCATGATCGTATGACTTTGCGCATTATGACTGACTTCCTTAGTGTCGAAATTCTGATCCCAATTACTATTGTTAAGCGAGGACTGCCTGTAATAAGTCCAAATCTCTCTTTTGGTAATTATTTATTGGGTAACTCCAGCTTATTGACTCAATGCCAAAACAACTTTGCTAAGATGGGGCAATTATTTAAGGCAAAGGTGGATCATCTTTTGGTGACTGAAAGCTTTGAGGGATTAAAAAAAAGCTACAATGCAAAGAGGGCAAAGGCAATTTTCTCTTGGGGAAGAAGGGATCAGGAAAGCTGATTAAACAAACACTCTCAAATTTACACAGAAGTTAGATGTTCCATCTCAACACAGCAGAAGATCATACCACTGATTTTTAATCAGAAGTGGCTGTGGAGGTTATAAAATAGGATTATCCCTGCTCCTAAGTTAAAGTCTGTTGCAAATGGACAAGATATTGAAATGTTTTTCTAACTGTTTCCGAGACTATCGGCATCAAATCTGAAAACACTATGAAAAGAAGACTTCAGTAAGAAACAAAGTTTCACCCTATGTCCTAGGTGACCAGTTAGATCAAATAAAGAAAAACCATAAATGATCCCACAATTTTGGGAGGTCTGAGAGGCACTGCTTTTCTGGGTCAGGGTTAGCACTATGGAACAGACTCCTCCCTGCTGATATTTTGGAGGTTTCTAAGGACAGAGTTATTGTGGAGAACCTTCTCTTGATCTTGTCATGCCACCTTCATTTTCTATTTTCATTGTTTGCAATTTTCTATTTGGGTGATATTGTTTTACTCTTTAGAGTTGGTAAGTTTTGCTTGATATTTTTTATACTCTATGTAGGCTGAAGAGTCTCTAGATCAGTGTTTCTCAACCTTGACAATTTTAAGGCATGTGGACTTCAACTCCCAGAATTCCACAGCCAGCATTGCTGGCTGTGGAATTCTGGGAGTTGAAGTCCACATGCCTTAAAATTGTCAAGGTTGAGAAACACTGCTCTAGATTGTGTGGGTTGGATACCGTATGTAGAAAACAGGCAAATGAATACAGAAGCTGATGAGCTATCTTGCTAACAAATTGGACTCTGCTCAAATAAATCTTACCAAGCAAGGATTTTTTGGTTTTCTAGCGGTATATTAATTGGGCATAGGTATTTCATAGCATGATGGATAAGTTTGTTTATAGGCATGTACATTGTTTACTTTCTTTTATTTTGCAATGCCTGCAGCTGATTTGTTGCTTTTTCCTAAAAGAAGAATACATACTATAACTCAAAAATATTAACCTAGAGGGGGAGAAGTCACCTGCTGCTCCTAACTTTATAACTCTATGTGCTTTCACATTTTTTAGTTCTTTAAAAACTTGCTTCTAACATGATTCCTTTTCATTTTGTTCTTAGTCAAAAGAAATGAGTTCTTGATATAACGATGGGACTCTGAAGTTTATCATTTACAAAACAAATATATTACATAACCAGTTTTCCCCAAACTTTGGATTAACTCTTAAAATTTCCAGCCAGGCCGGCTTTTGCTCAGAATTTTGGCACTTGAAATCCAGACATATATGGAAAGACAACAACCCAGACTGGTAAACAGCAAGAATGATAAATAAGAATACAGACTTAACTCAGAGCAATCAACCAACAACAAATTGAGAGGCTATAGGATCAAAACATTCTGGGAATTATTCTTCATTTCTATACAAGCCTTTAGCTCTATGTAACTTTGAGCAAATCCGCTCCAAACTCCTGAAAAAATAAACAGGCGATGTATTTTATATTCTAAATAATTCATGATAAAGATTGGGAAAAGATTAAGGCAAGGGCAAGTACCTATAATGGCCAGAAGCCATTATAGACATATTTATATCAAAGATCAGGTAAACTTAAATATTAAAGATCCTCCACTGTTTAAAAACATCTTCAAAAAGGCAAAATAGTAAAATTTACTTGAAGTAAGATTTAGGTTTATATGGCATTTCACTGATAGGACCCAAATTCAAATGCTCATTCCAGTCTAAACTTCTCATTCCAATTTTAGTTTCTTTGGATCCCCTCCATCTTCAGTTTTCTTTTCAGACCGTCTTTTCTTTAAACCTTTCATTTTTCTAGTCTGCAGTTTATCCAGGTCCTGTTTCTGCATGTGAATCCGCCCATATTTTGTGCCAAAGACATCATGAGAGACATTCTTCTTCTTCTTTGGCTAGAAATACAAGACAATGCCCATTTTCTGATTTAGAATGACACTTCTTCAAAATGCAATCCTTGTCCAATAACCACTGGAAAATGTCCTTTCATTACAACTTAAAATCTAATTAGTTAATTCATTATTTTATCTAATTTGAATTGAGCTTTGAGGGTGCGAGTTTCTGTATTTCTGCAGCTCATGCACAGAATTCACACTGCGCCTTCCCACTGGCGATCAAGGAGGCTAGTCGTGGTAAATACAAATCATTTTTTTTTTAAATAAAGGGATGGATTACAATATTGATGATGAATGTAAATGAAAAGGCAGTTTCCAAAGCTTTCCTCCCCCACCAAGGGAAACCTGAGTCGCCTGGGGGATGGGGCGGGGCGCCAGCCAGGCTGGGCCTTATGGTGAAAAAAAATAAGACACCCTCCAAAAATAAACCCTAATGGGTCTTTTGGAGCAAAAATAAATATAAGACCCAGGCTTATTTTTGGGGGAAACGCGGGTAGTTAAGTTGCTCTGTTCCACAAACAGAAAAATCTTTTCAATTATGTATCACTTTCAGTTCTGCACCTGGGCAGATTTTCCTGGCCTAAATGTATAAAGATTTTTCTACTTACCTTGAGAGCTTTAGGTTGCTTTAGTGACAGCTTAAAAAGATCATCTGATGCCAAATGTGTTCTCCTTATTACCAAATCTAATGAAGGTCCCATATCTTCAAGTTCAATCCTTGGTATTTTACAACCAGACTTTTTCAATAACACCCTTGAAAATGGGACAAGGGGAAAAACACTTATTGATTAATTCATCTGACATTGTGAATCCTTGTAGCAATCTTCCTCTAGACCAGTGGTGGCGAACCTATGGCACACGTGCCAGAAGCGGCACTCAGAGCCCTCTCTGTTGGCACACGAGCCACTGTTGCCAGCAGCAGGTGCATCAGGCCACCACTGCCGCCCGGAGCAGGAGCTCCGCCCAGCACAAAGGAGGTGAAGCGGCCGACTAGCAAGCTTGAGTAGAGGTGGTAGAGCAGAGGTCACCAACCATTGTTGATTGGTGGACTGGAAGAAAAGGGAGGGGGAAGCATTATGCATGCATGTGTGCATGGGGCTGCGAGCACGCATGTGCTGCGTGATACTCACTAGCCCTGTCCCATTCTTGCATCTGCACCCCACGGCACGGCTGTTTTTGCGCCTTGCAGCATGGTAGCCCATTTTTGCGCCCCTGGTTTTTGCGTGCCAGAGGCAGCACTCAGGGGCAGCTCCCTGCCCCTCCATGAGGGCACCACAATGCTGATGCAGCCCTGGCACTTTGCGATAAATAAGTGGGGTTTGGGTTGCGGTTTGGGCACTCGGTCTCTAAAAGGTTCGCCATCACTGCTCTAGACAGTTCAGCACGAAGACAGTTCAGCACTCCTATGCAGTTCATATCAATACCTCATGCCAATTTGCAAAGCTATATCAAGTCTATATTAATAGTATCAATGGACTTACTAAAATCAAGTACTGAATAAACGATTCTGGGATCAGGACTAAGCAGAAAGGAGCACCCCACAATATTCCATAAATTTTGCCTCCCAAAGGAAAATTAGCAGTCCTTTCTCCGTATATTCTGGAGAAACATTATGAGGAATAATGACCATATATTTTTGTGAGACAGAAAATACTGCTTCATTTACCATAGAGATACCATACTTTGGCTTATTTTGCAGAAAAGTATCTTGAGGATAAAATTTATAATGTCTTTTTTGGCTATACAAGTAACTTTTAAAGTAAGTAACATTTTCATGAGATCAAATAGTGCCCCAAAATATTATTAAAGAGGTTATAAAATAGAAATTGAAGTTGTATATTGCAGGGAAAAAAATAACAGAAATATATCAAGAATGCAGCTTGGATAAAGAAGATAGAGAAAGAAAAAAAGGGGAGAACAGCAGAAATGATGGAGAAAAGTGCAAGGAAGATCCAAAATTGGTCAGCATCGGATAAAGACGAATTGCTGGGTTTTTGGTTGAAACATCTGACTGGGTAATTGGATTTTAGAGTCTACATTTGGAAAACAACATTACAACCAATGATGGACAAGCAAATTTCTAGACTATATTTGCACTGCAACCCATACAAGATTTTCTTTCTTCCTTCTCCTTCTGTATGCCTCCAAATCTAAAGGCTGGTTAGAAAAAAGAAAACTTCAGCATGATTCTGCTGTGTCTAGAAGACAGCTGGATACTGTCCTCACCATCGTACACCCATTTTACCATTGGTATCATTCAGTTCTGTCTCTTTATTTTGAGCATACTCTCCCCATCTACTATTACAGCAATAGAGAGGTATGACATTCAGTTGTTCATCAGTTTATTTTTGATCCATATTTAATTTCAAAACTAAGGACTTGGTGCAATCTAGTTTCCAAAATAGTAGCCCAATCATCTCATAAGAGGAATGGATTAGTTGCAGGATATCTGAGTAACTTCTTCTCCATTCTTGTTGAAATTACACACAAAACAACAATCAACTGCAGCCTAACAGCAGCTAGTTGCAATTAATATACTTCTAACATACTTTAATTAATATTAATTATTAATATACTTCTTGGTTCATCAGTCTCAAGTGCCCCTGCTCATACCAGTTGTTTAAAAACATGTATCTAGTGCCACATTCTACCAAAGCTGTATTAATATCAGACATGACTAAGTTTGAAAAGAGACGCACCAGCTCATACAAGGTAAAGAATGTATTCTCTGTATTGTCTTTCGTCACAAATTCCTTTTATAACCTTATCAGATACCATGTTCTTATTGCATCTGAATTATATTCCTGTTTATTAACACTTAGTAGATTGACAACTACAATTAATTTTGAGGACATTCATGAAATTAATTAAAGCATTTAAACATTTTCAAAAGTTGTAATTTCCCCGTAGCGTGCAGCCTACGAGGGACAGCAGTTTCCAAATCTTCAGACTGATACGTATATCTGATTTGTTCTTTTCTCATTATTCTCTCCACTGAGATGGTTAGTCAACCAAGCATGATATAATAGGTCTGATATTATTGGGAGATTATAAAGATTGGTAAACATATACTCTGATCTTATGTTCCAACCTCCTTCTATTATCTTACAAGAGAGAGTAAAACTTTATGCCTCAGACTTTGGACAGTTGCATAACCACATGAAACAATGTTTATGATTGGATTCTATACAGGATTCAAAAAGAATTCTCATAGTTTGGGATATTCCAGATATGGCCATGTTGTATGAAAAATTCTCTCAGTACGTATGTAGTAATGTGTTTTATATTCACAGAAGACAAGTGGCCCTAATATTTAAAGCGTATTAAGAAACTAAGACATATGTATGTGGGTCATAATAAACCTGAACTGGTATCATAGCAAAGGAGAGGAAATTTGAGATCAACAGTTTGTAAATAGGTCTTATATCTTTTTTTTGCAGAAATAAACAGCAAAGTAGAAATATCAGTATTCAACAATCACTCTATTCCAGACACGAATTTTCTGAAGATAGCAATATGAACCTAACAGTTAAGTCTATAACAATCCAAAATAGGTAATTAAATCTAGAAAAACCTTCAAGGGTAGAATACAGTGGGATTTTACTGCAAAGTAGGCGATATTAAGCTCTGTGTTAGCACAGTAAAGGCTAAT